CCTAACCCGGGAGCAAGCCCCTGTGACTATCGGCCCCCTTCTGGATCGCTGGCCTTCGATTTTCCCTTGCTTGATTCTAGATGAGAGACCCACTCCGGATTTCATGCCGGGGTTTACAATCCAGGATCTGGGTGGAATTTCGGATAGGAGTGAAAGCCTGGAAATTCTCGGGAATAGACCGTAGGGGAAGTTAGAGAACAAATCCCCGTCCTTTCCTGGTCGGTGGGCTTCCCTTTAATTAAGCCAGTTTAGGATGGCTTTCGTACAAGTGGCAGCGAGCGGGGAGGAGCGGATCCGACTAAAGCAGAAATCGTACGCAGGTCTCTAGGAGAGAGGACTTCACTGACTTGCTCCGGAGTAAATGTGTTTAGGATCAGGCTGCCTGTCCTGACAGGTAAAGCCTCACACCCGCGAAACCGAAGTATCTGAATTTTCGCCATGTGGACCGCTTCACCTCGCTGCAGTCCACCCCCCCCCCGCCCCTCCAGTTAAGCAGGTTTACAGCCGGACCCTAAATATGTTTACCCCGAAGTAAACCTGGCACCGAGTTCAGTCATTGCCCCGATAAATAAAAAGAGTTCTTGTTCGCTTGTTCGTGTGTCTGCTTTTCAGGCGAGTTGACGTTGTGAGTTCTCAGCCAAATGGGAAGGCAACGGAACCACCCTGGCTGTGGTCCGGAGACTTGCCCGTTGGTTGGGGATCCAGTCTGTTTGTCCGGAGGAATCTGTGCAGGGCAAACGGGGCTTCAGCCTTCGAACACTCCCCTTCCCACCGTCTTTCCCCACTCCACCCCGATGCTTTCCGGTTGTGCGTTTTGAGATCGCCTCCCGCGGTCCCGCTATTCCGATTTCCGAGCTGAACGCCTCCAGTCCTAGCGCGCAACTTTGGAAGCAAATCCTTCCGACTTCCAGATCCGTGAGGTGCACCGAAACCTAACGAAATGTTCCATAAGTAAACGAGAGGCCAAGTTCAACACAAGGACCAAGCAGGACAGCTCTGGTCTGCAATCCTATGCAAACTGACTTGGGGCAAGGCGCTTTGGATGCGGGGGGGCTTACACCCGAGTGGACAGAGCTAAGAGCTAGTCCCACGGAGCTCAACAGAACGGTGCGGAGCTTGCGCTCCTCCAGCGTTGAATCCACCTGCCGTCTTTGAGGGCACACGTTTAGGATCGCTCTGCCTGGGTAGGATCGGGCATGCCGATCCGGGTGGGGAGGGGAGCCAGGAATCGATCCAAACGCACATGCGTCAGCCGCGACTGAGGCTGCAATCTCATACCCCTCTGACGGAATGCCTACTCTTCGGCTAGATGGGGCTTACTTTGGAGTAGCCGTGCATGGGCTCGTACCGTCCGCGCGCAGGATCCAGACCCGCCGGGGCTTGTCCTGACTCATCCCTCCGGACTCGGTGTGCCACTCCAGAGAGGGTGTGCCGGGGGGCTCCACCGTGGCGGGCGCATCCGCGGCCTCTTTCTTTTCCCTTTCCTCCTGTCTTTTTCTCTTTAATGGCCGTGATCTCACTCCGCCGCCCCCTGCGTGTGCCGCAGCCCCTGAGGGCGGGCGCCCCCTCCCCAGGCTCCGCGTTCACGAGGCTCTTCAAATCCAAGCCTCCTTCCCTAACCGCCTGCCCATGCTCGCCGGGAGAAGGCGAGGGGCATCCCTCCCTGCCTCTGGCCGCAGGGTGGCTCCAGCCACGCTTCCCCCGGCCCGCCTTTCCGCCGCGGGCGAGCCGGCTCGTGGATGCGCGCAGCACAACCCCAGCGCAGCTCGCTCCCCGCTTGCTGGCTCCGGCAGCAGGTAGTCGGTCACCAGCGAGGGTGTTCACACCGCTCGCTTCACTTCGCTTTCCAAAAAATACAAATAAAATAACTAATCTGCCGCGAGAGGCTGTTCCAGATATTTCTGCTTTAAGCATCCAGTACTCCAAGGGGAGCATCCAGGGGCAACTCCGTTCAGGGTGGGTGGGTGGGTTGGTTTTTAATTGAAAACAAAAAACAAGCACGCCTTTGCGGAGCTGCTGGCTTCCGTGCCGCTCGTTATACGAGCCGGTCTAAGCCACTCAGGTGACTAGAGCCCAGGTAACGATTCGAACTGCTTCAAGAGAACCAGAAAATGCCTCTTGATTCCAAGCCATTTCATCCTCACCTTCCTGAACACATCTTTTCCTTCTGTAAATGCAGAATCAAAACTGAAATCGACGGGCTCCAAGTCGTTTAGGATCGGGGTGTATGTATCTCGCCTTAAGTTCAAACCCGTCCTGAGTCCTTCAGCACCTCTGCATGGACTCTTGCTGCAGTCCTGTGCTTGCTTACTCCAAAGTAAGTCCCACTGTGTTCAGTGCGGATTACTCCCTAACAAAGCCGATAGAAGCTTAGCTTTAATCCCTTCGGGAGAAATTTATACACAGCTGCCTTGACTAGGAAGCCCAATAGCACCGAACACGGTGAAACTTGCTTGGAAGTGGAAAACGTTTAAGGTCTGGTTGTCAATAAGCTTCTTGAGAGTAACAGGGCGGCTCATATATGTCTACTCAGAAGTCAGGAGAAAGCCCTTCTGAGTTCAATGGGGCTTATCCTCTGAGGAGCACAGCTCCTACTAGCAGAGTACTGCACATAAGCATTCCGTAAAAAGCGGGGTTAAGACTACAGGAATCAACGTTGAGTGGCACAATTCCAAATGCACGTTCCTTCAGTTTAACTGGGTTGTGGAGCTGTGCTCTAAAAATGCGATTTGAGACATTATCTGAGCCCAGGTGGTTGGGCATTTGTGCCTGTTATTCCTATTTATTTAACTATTTTTATGTTATCATACAGAGATAATTGTGTTTGAACTAAAATGTGTTGAGGGATTGTTTGGCGAAGGAGTAAAGAGGAATGGGGAAAACAGAAGCGAGGAAGTTACAGGAGCTCCAAATGGCTTTGTGGTTAGACCCTGAAAAAAAGAAGAAGCGAACTTTCTTGTCTAATTCTTCCGTTTTACGTTTCTGAATGGATGCACAGAACGCTTAACAATTTCATCCCATGTTTGTTTTCAAGTATGGGCCAAAATGTGGGGTTGAAAACTCCATGGATCTCTAAGCGCATGTGGTCTTATACTGAAAATCCAGGATCTAATCCAACCAAAATTAAGCACGCTTTAAATCCTATTGTTTTTCTGCGTCTGAGTTAAGCGCACGCTTATCATTCTCCCATTAAAATCATTGGGGTCTGCACATTGTCGGAGGGATCGTGGCCCCAGAGGGATGCAAACCAGGTCGACGGATCTTGCCAGCGGCTCATAAAGGGCCATAGCAGTTGTTTCGAAACGACGTTTCCACAGTGGCTTTCCTCTTTCAAGCTTGCCCAGAGCGCGGATGTGCTGTTACAATTGTCACGCTAAGCGGAGAGCAAGAGAGCTTTAGTTTGTTGTCGGGCGATATTAGCTGTTCCCGTCCGGTTTCTTTCGACAGCAGCGAAAGGGAACCGTCGAAGTCATTTCCCCTCTTCCCAGAAATGAACCCTCTGTGGCCCCGATCCTATCCCTGTTTCTTCGGGAGCAGCTGTCACTGAATTCCAGGGGGCTTCCTCCCCAGCAATGGTGTAACCACTCTCCCAACCGAAGTATGATTTACTCGGAAGGAAGCCCCCCTCTACTCTGTGAGGCTGCAGCCCTTGATTCGGAGCTGGGTGCTTCCCCTCTGGAAATCGGAGCAGCGGCCCCAGCCTCGCTGGAGCGGTTCTTCATAAACTTCGCTTCTGCTCGCCCTTCCCTAGGAATACCGCAGTCCTGCCCCCGGCCCCGAAATGTGCCATTTGGAGCGGCCGTAAAACGGTGACAGGGACTTGATCACAATAACCAGAACCTGTTGGGGCTGGACGCCCCGGCTGGTGTTATCTGCACGGATCTGTCTTCACCTCCCTGTTAAGTGACGCTACCCTGGTCTGATCGGAACAGAAAGACCGCTTCGCTTGCCGCTGATGGATGGCTAAATAGGGAAGCAGGCAGAAAACAGGGGCTGCGGGGGGAGGGGTCCGCTGCTCCCCTCCCTTGCCAGGGCTGTCGGGCTTCGCCTGGAGAATCTGCAGCCAAGGGATTTCAGCCCCTAAATGGCTTTTGCATTTAGGAAGCGGGGGCCGGAGGGGACAGTTTCGTGGAATCCGGGGCAGAAGGGAGACAGCGGATCCTTTGAATTACGCTTGAGAACTCGGATCCGGAGTTAGCGATCCGTGGGGGTCTACCTGGAGCAGAGATGGGTGTAGATCGGCAGACCAGGGCCCACTGCGGATAGAGGTGAGCGCCGGGGGAGAGCTGGCTTCCCCGATGGGGCCGGTTGCGGAGTGGATCCCACTGGAGAAGCGCGCAGAGGGATCTAGGTGGAAACGAAAGGGGCGATTTTGCACTTCAGCCGCGAGACTGGGCCATTCTGATCCTACTCGCTCCAGGGAGATGTGGATCCACGGAGGATCCTGAAAACGCGCGCGCGTCTCTTTTTTGCAGTACATTTCTGGTGCGAGGGCTGGAGGGCCAGAATGTGCTTCGCTAGACCGAAGCCCGCTGCTCCATTGCACGGTTCCTGAACGGCAGCCTCCTGTTAGGGAGGGGGCGATCACGCTGCCCCTTGGGTCGCGATCCGCGGAAAGGACGCCTGCCAGAGGCGGGAGGCTCCGGCGGCCGGATCGGTGTCCAAGGTGGGAAGGAATGTTCTCCGTTCCCTTGGCAGAGCCGGGTCTCCCTGGGGTCGGAGACGGTGCCTGCCAGGGGGAGGGGGCCCCGACTCCCTGCCAAGCCTTCGCTCGCGGTGCCCGGGGGAGGCGCGGGGAGCGGAGCCCCGGAGCGAGGGCGGGGCGCGCGGGTTGCTCCGTAACCGGGCGCCGAGCGCGGCCCAAGTCCGCCGCTTCCCAGGGAGAAACTTTTTCCCCCTCTCAGTGCGCATGCCCAGGGGTGGAGAGGGGGGAGGCAGGCAGGGGGTTGAAATAAGGAGGCGGCCGAGGCAAGAGATCCGCTCAGTCGGCGCTCGCCTCCTCCAAGGCGCTCTTGCCTTGAGCCGCCCGCCTCGCCCGGCGCTCCAGTCCAGCGGGACGGAGGAGAAAGGGAGCGGCCCCTGCAGCTCTCCAGCACCTGGCGCGCTCCCGCCGGCCGGCCGGCCCGCTCAGCCCCGGATCTGCCTCTGCCCGGCTGGAGCGCCGGCGAGACGAAGGCCCGGCCCGGCCCGGACAGGGCAGCTCTGCCGCCGCTTGCCCAGCCTGAAGGCGTGTCGGTTTAAGCCCCGGGAGGATCTTGGACCATCTCCGGCGGGGGAGCTGAAGTCAGGATTAGGTAAATATACTGAGAGGGGAGCCTCACTCCTCCGCCCCAGAGCTAGCCCCTCTTTGCTTGCCCGGTGTCCCGGCTCTTTCTGCCTGCTCCTATCGCTTCCAGGGAAAAGCTTTCATGTCCGATCGCGGAGACCGGAGCTCAGTCGGGCCAGCAGGTTCTCCTCCTCCTCCTCCTCCTGCTCCCTTTCTTCTTCTCCTTCTTAGCGCTTCGCCGTCGGGATGCTCCGATCTTACGGGAAGCGCGGGAGAAGAAGCAGCTGCGTGGCCCGACCAAGATGTTGCAGCTGCAGCTGCAGCGGCGCGGTGTCTCTCGTCCCGGGCCCTTCCTGCGCCCATTCCCCTGGGCGAAATTGGGCCCTTCTTCCCAGCTTCCGTCGAGTGGCACCCCAAGGTCCTAAGCGCTGGTCTGTGAGGAGTCAGAGTCCAGTAGGGCTTGGCCCCGAAGTCTGAATGGGCCCAGGGCCCGAAGAATCAGTCAGGGCGCGGGGTGGTCCCGCTTGCTGCGCCGTCCTTGGAGCGAGTAAGTCCCCCTGACGGCGACTGGCGCTGTAGAAGCCACGCGTAACACACTCGAGCGGCAAAACCGCACCTGGAGATTCCAGATCTCCTGCTCGTTGGGATGGGCAGCCTGATCTTTGGGACTTCAGTTCCCATCACCTCCGCCCGCCTTGGAAGCTGGGAGCTGAAGTCCCAAACCTCTGCTGGGCACCAGGTTGGGGAAGGCCGGTCTAGACGTACCTCCCCTTGGAAGAAAGAGCTTCACGCCCTTCCGAGGGAGGGCACTCAAAGCTTGGCACCCTTTAGGATGCAATCCGAGGCTGGCTTTCCTGGGAGGCCGTTCCATTGAACTCAATGGGGCTCACTTCTGGATCAACCTGAATGGGAGGGCAGCGGCTCGGCTCCGTCATTCCCCTTCCAGATGTGTAGGGGCACCTCCCCAGAGCACTTTGGGGGCCAGCTTGTCCAACACCCGCAGTTCCTCTGCGTCGAGAATCCGGGATGTTTCGGCGGGGACGCAACGTTACCCGTCGACCCATGGCATGCCCCACTGAAGGCGGTGGCAAAGCATAGCATTTCTTCCTCCTTTATATGTCTCTGGATCGGACCAACCGGCTGCGCTCGGGCGAGGAGGGACCGGTTGGATCCGAAAACACAGCAAATATTTGGAAGCAACTTCTCCTGAAATCCAGGGGCGCCTACCTCGAAAAGTAGTTGCGGACTGGCGTTTCTGTAAAGCCGTGTTGAGCAGGGGTGAACCTAGGGAGCACGCGGAATGCTTGTTTTTGCTTACTTGCCGTGTCATGGAAATCGCAATGGGTCGGATTTAAGGCTCTGCTATTCCCTCTCCCTCGCCCAGCTTCGACACGTTTGCGGACAGATCCTGCCCGCCTTTGCTGGGAAAGTCGGTTGCGACTGGCTTTGCAAGGAAGCGAGCAAAGCCCGCTGCCCAGCCTTCCTTGGGAGTTCTCGGTGGCGTTTCTTGACCAGGTCGCCTGGCGACGAGATGGGCTTGCAGCCTGAAGTCGCTGTGATCGATTTCACTGGATTTTAGTTTCAAGGCACTGTCTCTGCAAGGGCGAATGAGGCTGTCGTTTTCAATGAAATGTTAACTAGGGTTGCAATCGATTGGGCAAACGGCGGAGTAAATATCTCGGGTTCTCGGGAGTGAAAGGCAAAAGACTTGGTGGGGTTCTCATACAACGCAAGGCGGGTCTTTTCCTTGTACTATTTTTGCTTTCTGGGTCGGAATTTTACCCAGGTGCGTGGCTGATTTGCCTTAATCCTGTCTGTCATGTCCATTCAGTTTTAAACACTTCCTATTCTAACTCTGTGGGAAGAGAAGAAAATCCCAATTTATTTTGAATGAAACTTGGGTTCCTTTTTACAGCTCAGTCCCAGGCACGTCCACTAAAAAGCATGACTCATTAAGTTCAGTGGGACCCATTCCCAGATTAGTGGCTGCAAGGCTGCAGCTTTAGCGTGTTTTTTTAGAGAGAGAGAGAGAGAGAGAGAGAGAGAGAGAGAGAGTGAGAGAGAGAGAGAGAGAGAGAGAGAGAGAGAGAGAGAGAGAGAGAGAGAGAGAGAGAGAGAAGGAAAGAAACATTGGGATGCTCTTTCTGTGCTGGAAAGAATGGGTTGCATCCCACGTGGGATTCGCTTAGTCCCTTTCATTTTGAAGGGACTTCTCCAAGTAGGAGTGACACTGGTTACAACCTGATGCGTTCACACATTGTAGAAGGGATTATTGGTAAAAACATCCCCCTGGAACTCCAGGGCCCCTGAGAGTTTTCTTAGCTGGCCGTTCGGTTGGAAAGAGAGATGTTCAACCCCATCCTTGCTGTTTCCTTTTAGGAAGAGCCCAGTAAATCCTAAATCCTCTAATCTCCTGTATTTGAACTGGTTCAGTAAATCCAAGTACTACCAAAGGGTTTATTCTGAAATCTGTCCCCAGCACCTAGTCCTCTTCACAGTTGTGGTAAGACGTATCATGCAGCATCCAGCTGAATGTTCAAATAGTTGCAGGTTTCCGTGGAAAACAAAGGGCTGCTTCTTTAGCAGAAATAATGTGCCATCTCATCCCCCCCCCCATGTGTTAATTAACAATAATAAACAGTGGGGTCTTCACTCCTCAGGCCATATATATTTCTGAGAATCGAGATAAATTTGCTTCCACCTCGATCCTGCCCTGCTTCCTATGTTAGTGTTATGTCTAATTGATTTCAGTGGGTCTACTCTAAGTAGGCTACAACCCATAGCGATTTGCAGTCAAAGGGCTGCGCTTCTCAGGGGCCCTGCATGGGATCAGGAAAGAGACGTTTCAGCATCACAGCCTAGGGCGATGTCCAGACACCCTGTGCGCTTGGGATCGAGAAGGTGAAGGCCTTGGAGGGGAACGTGGCTCGCACCCTTCCCCGCAGTACGAATCGCAGCTCTGCTCTCCCTGTCGCTGCTCCAGAAGCAGGAGAAGAATGACTTTCTTGTTGTCGTTCAGGAAGGGGAAACTCTTCGCGAGGTCGGTTGCGCGGCGAGGCTGCAATTCCTGGGCGCGACCGTGGAGAGTGCGTCCCGGGGAAGTTTGGCGGGGCTTCTGTCCGAGCAAGCCGTGAGGGGCGAGGGGAGCGGGACCCTCCGAGCGCCGCTGCCCGGCTGCGAGGGCGCGCTCTGGCGCGTGGGTGAGGTGAGTCCGTCCGCGAAGCGGGAGACCCCGCCGGGCGGCGATGCTGCGAGCGATTCCGCGCCGGCGTCCGTGTCAACGCTGCCCCGGGGGAGTCCTGTCCGAGTCATGTGGTTTCTATCAAGGTGGGGGCCGCGTCGGAGGGAGTTCCCCCATCCAAACAGTGCTTGCCGAAGCACTTTCAGAGAGGCTTAGGATGGCACCTTCTCGCTCTCGCTCTTCCTTCCCCTTTCTGCCCCACGTATGTTTCCATGCTGCGGCGGGGGGCGGGGGGGGGTGCAATCCCCGGAATAAAACTGGTACTGTTATTTAGGAATATAGCCCCAACCCGTTAGAAAGCAGCAAGCAAAAGGGTCACGAAGAGAAAGAAAAAGCAGCACAAACGAACTCTCTTTCCTCTTTCTGGCCCATATTGGCGTTCAGATAATAATGAACAGAGAAAGAAGAGTAAACAGGCTGTTAGGGTCATCTGAGAAAGTACCCTTGACTTCAAAGGGAGGCCACACAAGGTGTAGGTTCAGAAGTCCTTTTGAAAGCGGAGGTGGTGGTGCTGGGGAATCCTGCACACATTTTCCTTACTCTTGGAACATATTTCGGGTAGTGAATAGGTCTGCAAACTTTACAGGGCAACATTGCCACGAATAACGTCGCCCCCCCCCCCCATCCTTAACTCCTTCTATACAGAACCTCTCGGATGAGCTCTCTCTCCATTAAGCCCACGGGGCTCAGATTCGGGCCCGCGAGTTGTTCGTTTGCCTGAATTTGGTTTTCCAGAATTGCCATACATCGAATGGAAACGCGCTTCTTCTGAAAATCTGCACCAGCGGCGCTGGTTGCTTCCTCTGCCCCGTAACAACACCCCCAAAGGAGGTCATCGAATTTTTAGGTATCTTTTAATTCCCCTGTGTGAGCGTGCGTGCGTGTGAGAGATTTTGAAAGAGCGTGTCTGGAGCCACTGCAGCAGAATCGTTTTAGGAATCACGGCTATTTGGGCTGACTTCAGGGGCAGCTTTGGAAAGCGCTGTGAGCGCGATCGCCAGGATCTGGGCGCGGTGGGGAAAGAAAAGGGTGGTTGTTATTTTTTTCAGTTGTGCGGTCCAGCGCCAGCCCCGCTCCCTTCCCGCAACGAACGCGCGTCGCTGCCCGAGCCAGGGCGCGGGGCTGCTCGCAGCCCTCATTAAGAGGCGCAATTAACTCGTTCACGCTCCATTACAGCCGTACAGAACTCCGTGCGCGGAGCTCCCTGCTCGGCCCTTCCCAGAAAGCTGCGCATACGCCACGCCTGGAGCCGAGCTAGCCTCCCGCCGGTCACGCCAATTCCCTTTCCTGTTTTGTTTCCTAAACACAGGTAGAGGCCACGCTCGATTTCCTCTTGGGCTGCCCGCGGCAAAGGGGAGGGAAAAGTGTCTTTTTGGGAAGGCCTCGGCGGGCCAGTTAGCTCTGGACCCAAGTGGAGCAAGGACGCCGGAGGGCTTGTTTGGAGAGCAGGCTGCGATCCTCACTGCTGCTACTTGGAAATACATTTAATTTGCGTTCTGCGAGAATCCCCTCCGCGCACTTTTCTAAAACCCTGAAATATTTCGCATGGGGGGGGGGAATAGAGAACCATTTGTGTACATCGAAGCAGTGTTGGTGGGTAAGATGAGCTAAAACATGGACTTTTTGCCCCAAGGAGTTTCCAAGCGGACATGTAAAAGGGGCAGGTGAAGGGAAAGAAATACAGCACGAGCACGAAATGGTAAGAACGAGATCTGGTCATTTCAAATATCGAAATGAAAATGTTATGAAGAGAATTGCTATATATTTCTAAGATTGAACATTCCGCA